GGTCATGGTTCAGATACATTCCCATGTGTCCAGAGAGCCCGTTTTGCAGAACCAGTACCGACCCCTGAATCATCCAGAAGCCCAAAGGCTCATCCTGTCCACTCTACTGCCACTGCACTGGTACCAGACCGTACAAATACAGATTCTGGCTCAGCTCCGATCCTGGCAAAAGCTCCAGTGCCAATCCCAGAGGACCCGGACACCTCAACCTCACCTTCAACAGCCCTGCTTTTAAATTCCCTAACCCTTGATCCAGAAGTTCAAGCCCTAAAATTTCCAGTCTCAGATCCAGAAGCTCCAGTCCAAGAAGCTCCAATCGTGAATCCAAAAGCTTCAGTTTTAGAGTTTCAAGTCTCAGCAAATCCAGCTCCAGAACCTCCAGCTTTGGAATCTCAACATTTAGGAACCACAGCTCTTGCAGAAGCTTCAGCTCCAGAACCTGCAGCTCTACAAAATCCCGCCTTAGATCCAGAAACTCAAGGTCTGCTGCAGACCCAGATGGGAAAGGCCAAAGCCAAGAGGCGTCAGCGTCCTTGTTCCCTGGACCTGTCCTCCTCCTGCATCTCCTCAGGTGAGTCAAGATTAAGTGTTGAAGAATTGATTGGCGCCAAAGTACCATAAAGTACATGCTCAGAATCAGTGGTACCAAAGTACCACTCAATAAATGTTGTGTATCTGTGATTTTAACTCTAATAATGTTTCTTCCTCTCTCTTCCTCCTCTTCATAAGATTTTTCCCTGACAGATAACGACAGTCTGAGCGCTTCAGGAGAGAAAATAAAACACCGTGTCAAGACTCCGTACACCCTTAAGAAATGGCGTCCAGCCTCATGGGTCGTCTCCACGGATACAGCTCTCAACACAGACTTCGACTTCAACCCCAGTGGCAGTAGCAGCCAGACCCATTCATCTTCTGGTCTTCATGGAGAAGGGAGCATCTTCAAAAGCAATCAGTCCAAATCTAGCATGGCTGTGTTTCTGGTCGGAGGCGGAGCCACGGCGACCACGACCTCAAAGCCCGACGGAGTGACCTGCTTCTAAAGCTGTCGTTTGATTAAAAAGGAGAGCAGATTCATTTTTTTCACTTCTTTGTCTTCCTTCTCTTTTTGTTTTGGAAAATGGAGTTCACCATTCAGCCTCCCCAGAACTAAACACTCTTTGAAGGACAGTTACCGAGCGGCCGAGTCCAGTGACCGCTTCACCCCTCTGACTTTCTAGCCGTGACCCTGTCTGTGTAGCATAAACGTCCATGATGTCCAGGAGATATTTCTGTTTGTGGATTCCTGAACTTCTAGATGATTGGCTTCTGTCGCAAATAGTCTTGTGGCTAATCGAATATCGGTAAGGCCTTGACCCTACCTGGGTCACAAATTTACCTAGAAGGCCACTAAAGCAGACGTTCGGGGTCCGCTACAGTATGTTCCTCTTTAGTAGACGTTCGGGGTCCG